ACTCGTAGAGAGCAAAGTTATCGAGGTTGTGAATCACTGTGATTTATAGCGTGTATTATAAAAGTTGTTAAGTTTAAAGTGACAAGAAATGTACTGACTGTGGAATTACTGTGTACTAAAACTTTGTACTGAGAAAGAACAAACTGGTTAAATGAAGAAAGGACTTGTATCGCTGAAGTTCCCCAGAAAGAATTTCTATCAAAAATTAACAAACAAGTAGATATGTAACAGTATGAAAATATTTCAGCCATATGTAATTAATGGCACTGACAGGTTTTTACCAGTATAATGGCTAGATAACTTGTAAGTTCAAATATCAAGATTACTACTGATAATGATACTTAAGTTCAGTCTAAATTATTTTACTAGTACATTGCAACAATGGAAAATTAGTCAATTTACAATTCTTTCTGAATGTAATATCATTTGAATATTGTTGCGACAGTGGAAGTCACGTGACGCTGCTGGGGCACTGGTAGCGTGCATGATGAGTTTCTGAGTGTGTTCGAGGTGCCCTCTTTGTTAGTATATAAGCCTGGCAGAGAAAGCCAGCAGGGATGAATGAAGAGAGAGCAGTAGTTACTTTGAGTTCCTTGTAATTTATGATTCTTTTAGTTTCGAGCTAGTGAGCCATAAAGTGTGTTTTGCACTCGTCAAGAGTGAAGTTATCAACATTGAATCGCTGTGATTTATAGCGGGTATTATAAAAGTTAAGTTTAAAGTGATGAGAAATGTACTGTTTGTGGAACATCTGTGTACTAAAAGTTTGTATCGAGGAAGAATAAACTGGTTTAATCAAGAAAGGACTTGTATCGGTCAAGATCCTCAGAAAGAATTTTTACCAGAAACAAACAAGCAGATACATAACAATATATTAGTTTACTTATATATATTAGTTTAACACTATCTTATGTTTAACTTTGTTTGTACAACTGTTAGGATCATTTTCTCCTACAAATATATCTCAATACTTTTCTAACAAATTTATCAAACTTTGTTTATGTTTTCGTTCTATATTTCCTAAGTCAGAATCCCAGTCTATCCTGCCTTGTTGTGCCTGTTTATTAACATTATTAAAGTTATGCTGTTCTACCACAGCTAACTGTTCTCTACTACTAGCCTTACTTACTACTATGTTCTTAGGTAGTATTATTTTTTCTTCATTTATATTTAACACTTTTACTGGCACTGTGTCTCTCTTAGACACTTTACTAATACTAGCAGCTATATAAACTCCCGTTTCTTCCATTTCTATAGGCTCAACTAGCACTTCTTCATTATAATTAAAGTCATTTACTTTAGCTTCAACTATGAATTGACTTCACGCAGGTACTTCAGTTACTTTAACTAACTTTACAGGAACTCTTTCTTTCAAACACTTCTGTTTGGATGCTCCGTTGCTTATGTTAGGCATGAGTGTAGAGTCATCTGAGGGGTTTGAATTATTATTTTTCTGTTTTAAAGGCTTGTTCATTAACTTATTCTGCCTTATCTTACTGTCACTCACCTTATCTTTATGACTTCTGCTAGGTTTAGCGTTTTTCTGTACAGTCCTATTCCTTGGCTTTCTTTTAGAACTTTCTTTAAGACACTCCTTATTCTTACTCCTCCGACTTTGTTGTGTGTCACTACACTTTAGTAAGAAGTCAGTGCTTTCGTTTTTTTATGGTTGATCCTTAACCTCACTGGTGCTAGTGTTAGGCATCTGACAATTAGTCAGTGGGAAGGTATCATGTGTCGCAACTGTTGCACATAAGTTTGAAGGTTCAAGTTCTTCAAAACTTAAGACCTCTGTTTCTATGTGTAGCTTACTTTGGGTAAGAGATATTTCAGTGTCATAAGTTCTTAAGAAAGCTTGCCCTATAATACCATCTGTATCTAAGTCTATCTGCTTACAGATGTAAAATGAGTGGTTTAACTCTAAGTTTCCTACTCTCATTTGCATATTATATCTACCTAATGTTTTAACAGGATGTCCTGTTATAGAAGATAAAATACTTCTAGAAACTTCTTTCCAAGCATTATCTAACAATGTTGGATTTCTGTCTACTAGTTCTGAACTTAGTAGCAACGATCTATTTCTACTTTAACTATTGGTGATACTTCATTAATACTACGAATACTCGATCGCTTATCCCAAACTGCTGGAACTACCTCTACTTTTGCTCTGTAATCTCAGTGGGGATTACGTTTTT